AACTGAAGAGAAACTTCTCACGACCTACATTTTTCAGAAGTAATCTTAAATATGCATGCCTAATTTTGGGTTCCCAGCTTTACAAACCTAGGGTCTGACTTGCTTCTAAAGTTGACTGGAGCTGTGAGTGCAAAACAGTTTTGGAAATTAAGTCCTAGATGTCTAAAGTTAGGTGTCTAAATTCAAGTGTTCAGCTTTGAAAATGTACCCCTTAGTAATTTGTCCAAGATCATCCCAGATGACTGTAGCAGAGGTCGGAATAGAACTCTGAAGTTTTCTATCCCAATCTGTTATCATTACTACAGAACCATACTGATAGATAAAATTAACAAATTCTATTCAAATGAAAAAAAAACTTTTTCATGTAATTAAGGTTTTAATGTTAGTCACCAGAAATCAGGTAATGCAAAGTCTGAGATACACCTGAAATATTAAGGGATCAGGTTGCATATCTTGTTTTTATAGTGTCATCTTTTAGGGTCATCTTTTGTGACAAAAAGAATAAACTATTAAAATGGCTATGGGCTAGAAAACGTTACTTGATTTGCAACATGGTTAAGTTAACACTTTTTTTCCTGACTGGTGATTTTTCTGGGATGTGTTGTTTTAGAAAGCAGAGGCTCATTTTTGCACTCTCATAGTTGCTTGCCTACATTTGTGCACACGGTTACCTTGACAGTGCACATAAATCAAGAATTCCACATGCAAGTGATTCTTCAGACAACTACACGGCCATTTATGTAAGTAATCATGGTTCTTACATCCATAATTGTAGGCACTGAGGCCATCATCAAGTACCATTGCAAAGGTCCAAGATTAACTTACGTCAATTGTAATTGTGGATGTTTAGCTGTGGATGTGAACTGCCAGCCCCTTTGCATGCAAATCTATAGTTTCTGCTCTCTTATATAGGAATAATCTTTTTTGAATAGGGAGCTATGAGAATCTTTATTGTTATCCAATCAGTGTTTTTCAGACTTGGTCATGGATTTACCCCCCAATTTTGGACACTTTATCATACATTCCAGTTCTCAGAGCCACACTGTGTCCAATTAAGCTGTGTAAAAATATGTGGCCATTTTTAAAAATTGGAAATGTAATGTTTTCATCCTTATAGACCTCAAAAATGTCAAAAAAAATACATTGCTCAATTTTTTTAAAACTCCCTTTTTGTAGATACTAAAAATGGAAAATTTCACACTCAAAATAAATGTGTCAGAGAATTAGGAATATATGGAAATAAGGATAAGAATATAAATTAGTTTGTAATCATAACTGTAGGAGATGTTGTTATAATGTATAGTTACAATATCCATATTACAACATACAGCTTATAGCTAAAGTGAGAATTCCTACTGATTAAAAAGGGTTGGAGATTTAAACTATTGCATTATATATAGCTGGCCCAGTAGCAATTGCACTGATGTGTTGTAGAGCCATTTTCAAGAATTAATCAGGGATTCCCAGTCCAGTCAGCTGCTAGAAGCTAAGTGTGTCCCACAGGAATAAATCTGACAGTAATGTCTAAGCTGGGAAAATGACTTGAGCAAGAAAATATCCCCTTGATTTGAGACAAAGGAAAACAAAAAAGAAAAAGCAAGTACTAGCATCGCTAATACTGATGAAGTGTTGCTATCACACCTGAATACTATATTAAAGTCACAGCCTGCATTCACTTTAGCAGGTTTGTCTGTAGAGCTGGCCCTTTCAAGCATTTAAAGTTTTAAAACATGCAGTGGGGAAATCTTGATTAGTTTGGAACCTCAGACCAAAGTAAATCTGAATCTTCAATGCAGACTATATTGGACCTTTACTGAATTAGAGAACTGAATTTTTTCAGCACAAATCAAACCCTGTTAGAAATGGGCTTGCTGTTTAAATAATTTGGACAGTGGCACCTTATCTCAGTTCAGAGATACTAGCACTGCATCTGTGAAATGCATATGCCCCAGCCTGGATCCACAATTACTGTTATTTGGGCTTGTGCTAGCATGCTAAAAATAACCATGTGTTTGTGGCTCAGCTGGGGTTCGAGCTTTCAAGCCTGCAGGGATGGGGAGGCCTGAGAACCTGAGCTGCAACATGAAAGCTGTGCCTACACAGCTACTTTTAATTTGGCCAGTAGAGCAAGGCCTAATTCCCTTAGATTCTTTTGAAAATCCCATGCTCTGACTTTCCCCCATCCAGCTGACTGGTCAGCTCTAGAAATATTATGGAAATAAATTATTTCAAGATATTATATCTAAAATATCACAGGAGGCAGAATCGTTTTGCTATTCTCGACATTGGACAGATTTCAATACCTGCTGTTCTTTCCTTGTATCCACTATGCTTTGTCTTGTGCATTGTGACTTAGAATAGTGTAGAGGGAACAAGCACTACACATGTAAGCGGGCTGCATCCACACTTGTCACTGTGATGTGAACTGCAGCTGGCAGTGAAAGAATGACTAGAGCTGTTCCCTACTACCTCTTCCAGCTGCTAGAGACTTTACTAGATTGTGATGAGGAGAGGCTCCAGCAGCAGGCAGCTAGTCTGCTAAAAATTGGATACGTAAACATGTGAAGCAGTGCTTGGGCATGCAGAGAGCTAGGGTTCAGGTGTGTAAGGCACTCCGCTTTATTCTACTCACTGTTTATATCCATGCTAACTGGGCATGCAGTGTCTGTATTTTATACTCCACCATGCCTTTGGAATGTACCTTCAGAATCTGTGTTGGGGAAATGCTGGTTTAACTAGTTGTATCACAATATTAATATGTGAAAGTAACAGGAAGATAATGAATAGATCTTGGGATCAGAGAAATCTGTTAAGTTTTTTTTTCAAATACATTAGCAGTGTTTTGATTACACTGAAGGCTGAAGAGTACTTCAACCAAAATGCTAGTAAAACAGATTTCATAATACTGCAATCAATTTTATATGAGATGAAGGCATTCAGTGTTTGTTAGCTTTGAATATGGAAAGAATTTTCAGGAATTTATCAGCTATTGGGCAAAGATAGTTTATCAGAAATAATCTTGGATATGATTGATCAGAGGAAAACCCTTACTCTAAGTATGTTGTTGTCCTAATTTTTGGTTCCTGGTACTACTTAGTATACTAGGTGGATCTTCTGACAATGAGCTACCACTGTTCTCTCAACTCTCCCCAGCCAGCATTTTTCTCTTCCTCTGATGAATTGAATGTGTCACACTTAAAAAAAAAATCACTCATCTTTTCAGTTTGGTGACTTAGTGGTAGTGATCTGGGCTGCTATTTCATTGAATCAGAAAAGTTTAGAGGTGGAAAACACCTATTGGGTCAATGAGGACATCTCCTGGTCACTGCAGTGTGTCTCTTGCTGTACACTTTCTTGTGTGTTGTGTTGCTTTATATATGGGGCTCACACCCTGTCCATGTCACTTAGGGAGTGTAATTTCAAAAATGAATACTATATGTCTTGCTGTCATGAAGCTCTCCCTGATTATCACCTCCAAAATTTCCCTTTTTCAGTTCCTAACTAGTAACCCCTTTTGTGTACCCTAAATAACTCCTATTTCTTGTTGCCACTTATATTAAACTATTTGCATGTTTAAAATAGTATATGAAACTTTAAAAAAGGAGTCCTGTGGCACCATAAAGACTAGCAAATTTATTTGGGTATAAGCTTTCATGGGCTAGAGCCTACTTCGTCAGATGCATGTGATCTGAGGATTCCTTGTTATTTTTGAGAAACAGACTAACACGGCTACTCCTCTAAAGCATATCTCGCTTAGTTAGCCATGGTCTGCTCTTCTTTGAATTCCCTTCAATTTGTCAACATCTTTCTGGTATATATGAATTGAATGCTACATTCCAGGATGAGCACAATAAAATCCTGTTTGTTTTTTGTTTTCTTTTAATACTACCTTGTCAGAATCAGGCATCCTACTCTAGTTCTAACTAGTTCTACTGTTCTCAGAAACAGAAAATAGATGTCTAGAGCCAGGCCTGCCAATGGGGGGCAGGTAAAGGGGGAAACTGCCTCAGGGCCCAGTGAGTCTAAAGGTCCCAGGGCTCTGGCCACAGCTGGCATCTGGAGCCCTGGACCCTTTAAATTGCTGTCAGGGTGCTGCACGGCTGCTCTGGAAGCTCTAAGAGATGGGGAGGGGGTGCTCCAAGCAGCACTGAAGGCTACGAGGGGACAGCATGGTGCACTATCTGCCCCGGCCACGCCCCTTCCACCTGAGACTCTGTACCCCTTCTGGGATGGCTTGACTCAGTCCAGGTGATCAGTCAGAGGTATATAAATCACAAATCCCAGTTTAAATCTTGACTATAAAAATGTGCAGGATGGACCATCATGTACAGTCACCAGATTGAGGGGAGCATGTAAGTGAGGGTCTGCTCTTTGCTTAAATATGCTCATAAATTTGTGGCCACTAATTAGGAGACTACTAATCACTACTACTATAATCCTATTGCTGGTGGCTAAGGGTTGGAGAAATGAATAAAGAAGGAAGGAATTAGTAAACACAATTTGAGTGATGTTTCATTGTGGTCACATTGTGGGAAACATAGTGTCCACTTGTGGACAAAAAGACAACCATTGCTTGAAAACAGAGGACAAATCCAGTCCTGGTGTATCATTGAGATCAGTGAAGTTACTCTAAGGGTGATTTTGTTCCATTGTATCTGAAAAGGGGAAGACAATTAAATCAATGGTATGTATAGCAGTCTCTTTGCAGGCTTTATGAATATGCTTTATGTTAACGGGAGTGATGTCAGATGTGTGGGTTTTTGTTTTAGGGGGGTTTTGTGTAGATACAGTGAACAACAAGAATGGAATGGAATGACTAAATTAGACTAAGTTTAGTTTGATTTCCACATTGCATCTGCTTCTTCTTTTTTTTTCCAGATTTTACTAATTAAACAGTGACCAAAAATGAAAAGGAGTATCTGTCCCAAGGAGCTTACAATCGTAGCATTTGCACTTTTATAAAACTACAGCAGTGAATTTATCTCTCTCTTACATTCTAGGCCTTAACCAGAGAGTTACAGCGTAATGTACAGGAGATGAGAATGCGAATCAGACATTCTAAAAAAATAAAAGAAGAGAAAGAATGCAACAGGTATCTTTCCAAAGAGTCAGTCCACCGAGCCCAGTCCTTGGCAGCATCTATCCTTAATATTTCAAAGACTGATCTAGCAGAGATGCTAAATACTGAAGACGACGAGGTAAGCTATTTTAAGGGCTATTTTAGAATAGCTGGTGTTAATTGGCGCAGCTCCACATAAATTAGTGGAACTACTACAATTTTCATCAACTGAAGATGTGGCCTACCATGTTATTTCAGAAGTTATAATAATAAACAACACCTAAGATCTCCTAGTCATGTATCAGTGTCTCTCGTATAAAGAGATAACAGAAGGACAGTGCCTTCCTTGGAGCATTCACAGCCTAAGCAAAAGGAAACTGCAGAATAAAGGTGAAATGGGTGAATAATAGACACAGTTGTAAATGCATAAATTAAAAATAAATGTACTGATTTGAACATGAGGATGTAGATATTTTAATTATTTAAAAATCCTTATTAATTTCCATTTTCACAAGGAAATTTGATAATGTCATTTTGAAAGTGAATTTCAGTACTAATGAAGCAATTTGGAATGCATCATGTCATATCAAAATTAGTTTATTTGTGCATGCTTTCTCTAATTTTGGTAACTATTACAGTTATTCTATTAAACAGGTGTTTTCTATTAGCAAGCCTGTTGCTTTTCTTTCTTGAGCCTATCATATATTTCTATGGCAGACTATTTGATGACATAATCACAACTCTCTGTGATAAATATAATGTTTTCTTAATTGATCAAGCTGAAATAAAGCTTGACAGTGAATAAAAAGGATATAGACTGATAATACAAATATGAAGTGTGTATGCTGTTATTACAAAATGTTGACTAGTAGTAATAATACTTTCACATTGTCACAACAGACTACGATTAGTTCTGCTAGCACTCCACGTTGTAGAAGCCACTAAGGGTATATTGCACACTTTGTAAGCATTTGCTGTGTGTCTGTGTGTGTGTGTGTGTGTGTGTGTGTGTGTGTGTGTGTGTGTGTGTGAGAGAGAGAGAGAGCGCATACACACAAGTGCATTGTAGATTTAATTTCTACTTCACTAACATCACTTTTACACCTCTCTTGATTTATTGATTCCAATTAAGTTACTCCTTATTTACTTCTGTGTAACTGAGATCAGAATAAGGTCCTATATTTTTGATATAATGTATATTGTGAGTGTTTAACACATACACACACACAAAGAGCAAATCCAACCTTTGATATACTTGTACATATACATTACACACATATTTTATTTTATTAAGTTGTGTATAAATTCCAAATGTCAAAAGTCATTTCCTCAGTTGCACCTGTAAACTTTGCACATAAATTCATTCACACACACACCCAAGGGTATTTCAAAGAATAGGGCGTGCCGTTATCCAACTGCACATGCCAGTAAAGGGTTCTGTAAATGCAATAGAAGCCCTCAAAGATTATTCAGATCCAGTTTAGACAAGCAGTTTTCAAAGTATTATCCCAATTTACACATACAATTACTAAGTTGGTGTGCAAAATACAGTTATAGTTGTCAGTTACTTTCTAGTATCTTCTGCGAGTATAATAGTAGCAAAAGACTATGTAATCATTCCTGTAATCATTTATTCTATGTTTAGGAAACAGAAAGGGCTAAAATGGAAGTTGAAAAGGATAAGGAATGGCTGTGTTACATACAGAAACTTCTGGAGGGACAGGTAATAAATGTTATTTATCCACTTAAAGAATTAAAACTCTATACTCTAATTGTATTTCTTTAATTTCTTTAATAGTATTAATTCATGCTATTTTCTTGCAAATTTTTCTGCTTCTCATTATCTATGAGGCATTACATGAGACAGAGGTGAAGATAACACATATTTATACTAGCTAACTTATCAGATGAAAAGAATCTGTAGAAAACTAGCATAGATCTTCACAAATGTATTAATTAAATTATTGAGTCAGTCTGTATGCTTACTAGAGTGAAAAGAATCCATTCTTTTATACCTCTTAGGAAAAAGAGATTTTTTATTATGTGCCTTTAAAGTCAGTAGTTGATATGGACACCTGAGGAGTTCATGGGTTTCAGTGACCTTTTACTATGGACCTGTTTCCAGTCAATTCATGTTTTCCTCACAGCCAGACAGCTGTTTATTACCGTGTCTTCCCGCATTCTCTACAATATTTTCTACTGAGACCTCGAGCAGCTTGTTAGTGGGAAGTAAATATTGATTTGGCATCCTGTCAATGCAGAAAGAATGAAAAAATTTCCACTAGAGGCCCCTCAAACATTTTCCTATCGACATTTTCTAGGCAGAGTGGAAGGCTGCATAGAGGATGACAAGGCTGAGACTAGTTGAAATCCCTGAGGGGTCCTCTGAGACTGCCGCTGTGACCTGTGTGATACTTTTTCTTCTCTTTCAAGTCTTTTTTTTTAATACACACACTGTCTGCTGGGATGCTCCCCTCTTATAAGTGATCAAGGGCAGTTTATTGGCTGGGGAGAGCCCTGCTTTTCTAGTCATAGTCAGTTCTTTGGACATCACTGACAACATCCACTGGATCTTGAAACTTTTTCATTATATTTTAGTTACCTTCTGAATTGTGATTATGTGTGCTTAATATCTGAAATAAAATAACATTTGATTTATAAATGTAAATGTGTATGTACTCATGTGTTTGCATAAGCTGTATACAAGACTTCATTTCTAATAAGAAAGTAAATAATGTAAAATATTTTGAAAGCCATTTCAGAGGCTACTCATTTCTAAAGAGCAAATAATAATTATTGAAAATAAAAATATTTCAGTGTCAAGATTAAATCCCATGATCTGAATTAAAATAGTGATTGTTTTTCTTCATTCACTATCAAAAGATTATAGGATCAGGACAGCTTAATTGCTACAACAGAGGAGACTGAAATACCTATTAAGTTGCCTCAGCCTTACCACAAGCAGTGCAGTTTCATTTAAATAGTTTTAGTGCTATATGCAAAATGGAAACAACAGCATTAACAGTTTTAGCCCTATATTTCCTGTGGATCTGAGAAATGTTCTGCATAGACTTTAGTAAGTTGGAGGAATAAATGATGTTCTTGGTTCATACTCGGGACAATTTAGAAACCTGCACAGTCAGGATCATGCTCTATATTTTTTCTTAATTTAGACTTGATTTTTTCTTTTGCACCTGGCAGATCATAAAAATAAACTAAATAAAAGATTGAGGCTCATATCATCCCCATCACCACCACAAGCAGAGGGTATGAAACCTAGTGCATTGAGGATGAGGAGAGTGTTATTTTTGTGACCACATATCTCCTCTCTTTAGGTTTCAAGGGGACTGGGAGCTTCAGCTAGGGAAGGAGCCGGGGTTCCTTGCTTTCAGCAGTATCGCTTTCCTTGTCTCTAACTCATGGGAATTTAATGAGTAAGTTAATGGAGATTCTATCATCATTAACTTACCTTCTTCCGCTCTGTGTGCTGTGAGGCATCCCTGCTCCCTTTTCCCTGGCAGACATTTTAAGGGCACAGGAGACATGTGGCAGCCCAAATTCCATGGAAATTTTTTTGGGAAGAACCTGGATGAAACCAGGAGATTGGCTGGTTTGCGGGTCAAGATCTGCTTCAGCTGCTGTGTAGGGATTAAATAATATCTGCAATAGATGGATGTGAAGAAAACTCTGAATGGAAATCCTGGATTTTCCTGTTGTAACATGGGAGTAGCCCACAGAGGATGATACATCCTTTAAATTTTCAAGTCACATCTTGTGCTTAGGTGGATATTGTGTTTCTTTTTAATACATGTATCTAAAAATTCTCACCCAAAATGCTCAATCTAACCATGAAAAAATGGGAAATTTTTGTCTGCACTCTAATCAGAATAAAATGTAGGCTTTGTAGGGTGAGATAAATTTGTATTCTGTGTACACATATACATCTGTGATGTGGCATCTCAAGCCTCTGCACTTCTGTCCTGCAGAAAATTACATCAGATCACTACAGTTTGATATAGTGTCTTTTTGTGCCATTGAGCCAGGACTCTGGAACATAATTGCCCAGCAGTATTGATTTAATTGCCTAGGTTTATTTGTGGACTCCTAATTATTGACTGGAGGTAAATTTAATGGAGAAACCTTTATGAACACTGGGAAACTGCTGCTGTTGCTGTTATACATAATGAACTGCATGATATCCCTTTAGATCATTTTTCAAGCTAATTTTATTCCACTGTGACAGTACGATAACATTTAAAATGTCATAGACATTTTATTTTTATTACTGACATATGCTGTTTTACTGCTGCATTAGAAATTTTGGGGGAGACTGGGGGATGCACTAGTTGCTTTTAATGTCATTTTATAGATTTCCCCTAGAGTGCAATCATAAACTACTATAGCACACTTCTCTTTTACACTTTGCCTACACTCCTATTTCCAGTACTGATATGACGTGAAAAAGTTTACATTCATGCTTGCTTCAGAAACGTCTCACTGATTCTACGATTAATAAGTATATTATGGTAGCATCCAGAGGCTCAAGTCAGAATCGAGGCCTCACTGTATTATCCATTATAAAAACACATGAAGAGCTTCCCCTGTACACTCTTAAGCAGAGAAGTTTCCTTTTCAAAATATTATTCAAATAAGAATTGTATTATCGAAGGAAATAGCTGAGTTGGGAATTCTGCCATGATATTTATGAACACATATTGTCTAAAGCTACATTTTGAATGGCCAAATAGGTCATTTTGATGATCTGTGTATTCATGCATGAAATCCCAGTGGATTGAACCTCATCACTGAAAATTTAACACCCTAAACCCAATCCTTTGTATTAAAATAGAAGAAGGTGAAATTAATGGGTTTCTGTGGCACAAAGGGGTGATGTATGTCAAGAGGCATCCTAGAGGTGCATTTCCCAGCCTGGAGATTTCAGAGAGGCTATGTATAGCAAGTGGGGCATGCGAGAAGTAGCAATGGGAATCCATTAGAGTTCACAACCTCTAGCTCTTCCCTGCTGGGAAGTGGGGCATGTACCAACCAGAGTAGGCCATTCCAGCCATTAGACATGTCTACACCTCCAGTGTGTCACATGAAAGGAAGATTCTTTCCCGACTTCTCGTCTCATATCTCCGATGCCTATGCCAGCCACATGAACTAGGTATAGGGTACTAGATTTGTCTCTTAAATCCACAGTTTTTGAAAACTTCATTTAGCCAGATTAATATCTGGCCTTCATTTCTATTAGTTAAAAGTTTTCCTGTACCTCACAAAGACTTCATCCTGGTGGATCGTAGTAATATTACCTTAGAACAATACAAATTTTTTTTGTATAAAAACACATTGGCCTCACTCCAAATCAGTCCTTCAAGCCAAGCCTCCAAGATAAATTTTTAACAAGGCACAAGTAGATTGCCAAAATCTTTCAAGCCTTGGAGCCTGTTAAAAGGTTGGCTTAACTGATTCTTTATCAGTTGTGCCTCTGGGGTAATCATGGCCAATCCAACAAGAGCTCCATAATAAAATGTACCCTGCTTGGGACTTCTTTATTAATATAGAAATTGCATTCCAGTGTTTGTAATATATATGGAAACTCCTTCCCCTCCATACCTTGTCTCCAGGTTTCTACAGACCTCTCCCTAGGGTAGGGGTGGAGAACCTAAGACAGGATCTGTCTTTTATTTTCTCCCTCTTCCCTAGCAGGCCTTTCTGTCACTTGATCAATCATACAAAATACCTCCTATGTCACCATCCACGCTCTCATTTTAAGCCGGGGACTACAGTTTCAAGAATCCTGTCCTTTAAAAAGCTAAGTCTCTAGAACAGACACAATGGTCTGCATCTAAAGCCAGTACTTTTGTGTTGGGCCACCAAGCCAAACATCCATGTTTGCGTAGTTCTTGCAATTATACAGTGGGAACTCTGTCCTTTAGGTTGTAGTTTGGAATGCTTTAAATGTATGATTTTACAGGATGAGTAGTAATAATAATACATTACATTGAATAAAATGGGCTGAGTAAAAGTTGGATTCATTAGCAAATCTTCCAACCCATGCTAGAAGTGGACAACAAATATACAGAAGGGAATTTGTTAGTCACACAAGCCTTCACAAATCAGTATGGCCAAGGAACAGTAATAGAGTGATGCATTTTTAGATTACGGTCCCACTGAGTTTTTACAATTAATTCATTTAAGTTGAAGTGAAGAATATTCAAGTCTAGCCTCTGCTGAAATTAGAAGCTTCAAATGCAATTTCTTCCTCCTCTTCTCAAGTTTCAGTCTCTGTTGAATTTTCAATTTACCTACTTCAAGATGCTGCTGCTCTGAAGTTAAAAGCAATCTATTCACAGAAAAAAAAAGCTATTGCACTAGTCACCGCTATGGGTGAATTAACTGTAGTTGTAGTCATTCTTGCATGCACTCCAAAAATATTAGAAAAGAATTAAACAACTTAATTTCTGTATCAATTTGTAATTCACTGTTAAGTAAAATAATAAGTCTGTGATGTGGATGTTTTGGGTAGTTGATACACTATGAATTGGAATGTAGTTCCTCATTAGAATAATAACAACAAACAACATTCTGAATTTCTATCTTTTTCTAAGGATCTCAAAGCCTTTTCAAAATACAAATTACTAGAGCTTCATAACACCCCACGAGGCAGATAAATATTATCACCACTATTACAGAGGGGGAAATCTGAAAGACAGGTACTATCTTGCCCAAGGTCATAGTGAGTCTGTCAGGAAGGTGGGAATAGAACCCAGCACACCTGACTCTGAGGCTTGTGCTCTATTAAGCCATGCTCCCTCCCAGTGGACAATGTATCCAAGATGACTAGCTATCTTGTTGACATCTGCACAAAGCATTCAGCCTATCTTTATATATTTTCTATTTCAACAGTGAAAAATTGGAAATATGGTAAAACATGTAAAAAAAGGTAGATTGCTGTTGCTTTCTCAGATTATCTGAATATATGCAACTCTATTAAAATTCACTTCCCTTGAATGCTATTTTAAATTACACTTGATGGTGTCTATTATTACTCGTTACCTTTCAGAAAACTGGTTGTGTTCCAGATTTTTAGGAGCCACCTGACTAAAGGCATATTCAATACTACAATACATAACTGTCCACTGTACTGAACATGTCTATGTAGTGTAGCTGTATGCAACGAGCTAATTAAATTCACACAGCTTTGTGAATTGACTCAAAGCTTTGGACAGTTTAAAATCTGGGATGGATTCTTTAGATTGGCTTCGGTATCAACTGTTCTGAAATCCTAAACAGGAACATAAATATCCCAACACATTTACAAAGCCATCTAGAAGAGTAAATCTGAAGACTATAGAGATACAATGTTGGCTATGTATGTATAAAAAGAATCTCATAAAAAACACAAATATTTGTCCTAAACGTGAAAGAATACTACAATATTCAGCTTGTGATTTGACTGAATAATTTAGATAGAAAGCCAAAAGATCTTTGCAAAGTTCGCTGCAAAAATAGTGAACAGCAAAATACAATATAGAATTATATGAACCCAAGACAGCAGAGCAATAATACATTCATTCAAAGCACTTCATTATGAAAAAAATATATAATAAATAAAAAATGAAGGGAATCAAGCTAGTGAAAAAGAACATTTGCAAGACTTTGTAGTAATGATGACAAAATATATTTAGACAATGAAAAAGAGCAGTTACACTGTGAACATCATACTGAAGTCAGTAATTTTCTAGCACAGTAGAAAGTAACTGCAAAAGGGTGGCCTGTCTCTTTAAGTGTCTGAGGCCTGGGGCCAGTCAGCTCTATTTGATTATCAGACCCAGCTGGGAAGGGGTCAAGTGATCCCTGTAATGTGCTGAGAGCCAACTCAGCTGGGGAGAGTGTTGCAGGAGGATGATGGGTCCCTGAAGCAGGGAACTGAAGGGGAAGCAGGGACAAGTGAGAAAAAGTCTGGGTGCGGTACCCTCTAATGGAGGAATTGCTCTGTTTAGATGTCCTGCCTAAGGCTAAGTCTACACTAGCGGCTTCTTGCGCAAGAACATCTTGTGCAAGGGTTCTTGTGCAAGAAGTCTTGTGCAAGAACGCGTCCACACTGCTGTGAGTGAGATGTGCTTTTGTGCAAGAGCATCCATGGCAGTGTGGACACTCTCTTGCACAAGAAGGCTCTGATGACCATTTTAGCCATAGGGCTTTCTTGCGCAAGTAACCCCTGCCGCACGTCCACACTGCCCTCTTGTGCAAGAGCTCTTGCACAAGAGAGCTTATACCTGTAAGAAAAGAGCGTAACTCTTGCGCAAGAAGCCCTCTCTTACCACGCCGTACTGTAAATGTTCTTGCGGAAGAGTGGGCGGGCAGCGTGGGGACACTGCAGATTCTTGCGCAAGAACCCGCAAGTGTAGACGTAGCCTGTGTGTTTGAAAGTAAACAATAGCTTGGAAGAACCCGGGCATGGCAGTGAACTTCCTAGCTAAGGGAAACAGGCAGCAGATTACAGTATCTTTGAGGGATTTGAGTTGAGCACATGCATCTGTAATACCAACACTGTGATCACTAGTTTGATCCTCACACAAGAGTATAGTAGTGCCCCAAACTCTCAAGGGTTAGATGTACTCAGCTAGCTCCACAATTCCACATCGTAGACCTAGGGGATACAGACTATGTGCTGGAGGACATGTTCAGCTGGCAAGTGCTAGCCCTGTGCGCATACTGTTCTTACTCGGAGGAGGATTATATAGTTTTTCCTGTAAATGCAGAGTGACTGTAGGGTACAGCGTAATACTTGACCCACCCCTTCATGCACAGCCCCTATGGATAAGGTCAGGATTTTACCCTCTATCATTTTTATAAATAATTTCTTGTAACATTTTAATCATGAAAAATGTGAACAACAAGAACTCTCCAATGATTCAGCTTGTTCAGTGTCCTCTTTCACTATCTGGCATAAATAATATCAACCCAGAATAGTCTTTAAAGCCCAGCAGACATAATGGGAAGAGAGGAAGATATGGCAGTGAAAAAATAAATTCAGAACAGAGGCAATGTATTATCAAACAATAGAGATGGAATGAGGAATTATAAAAACACTGGGATGGTTATCTTCTAAACCCCAGGGAGAACTGATTTCTCCCCTCAATGATTTTACATATATATCCACGACAAGGACTATTTGGCTTGGTTCTTCCTGAGAACATGGTTGGGGACCAAATTATCTTTCCTTCTTCTGGCACAGGATGCAACTGCTTCTTTTCCATTAGGATTCACCTCCCCATCAAAAGCCACCACTCCTTTCTTCCAGGAAGGGCAGCCTTACGTTATCCCTGGAACATCTGCTGGAAAGGATTTCCAAAACGTGAACTAAAAGTGCAATCTCTGAGCCTCACCCAGCACTGCTCACTGTTGGGGGCAATGGGTAACTGAGTGGAGTTGGTGTACCACCTCCTGATGGACTCCCCACTACCCTGCACTTTAACATTTGGATTATGCTGGCAGCGGATTCTGCCTAGGGCTATAGGTACAATATGGTGCACATAAAAAAAATCCAAACGACATGCTACAAAAGCCGGGTTTAAAAGTAAATACAAGAGTGAATCTACAATTCTGTAAAATGTGTAAACTCAGCTTTTCGTAAAATTCCCATTCTGCTTAGAGTAACAGACTTCTCTGCAATACCCTGATCAATGGAGATTTTTTTTCTGCATTTATTCACAGAAGTGTCACTGTACACTCTTAAGCCATTTAGCAGCAGCACAGGAAGCTATATTCATAGTTCTGTCTCACTCTCTCGAGTGTAGTGAACATACAGTACTACTTCTATTTATATGTGCCCTAGAGATGACTGTAACCTCATATTGATTAGCTGATTGAAGATAAATGACAGAGCTGCTAGTATTGTAGATTACATCATTAACATGGTCAGTAAACCATGAATTGTTCAATAAGGCGTTTATCTTTTTTCATTTTACTTTGCTCTTTTATCATCTTTATGATAAAGAACAAAGTTACACACACTAACCAGGCAGATCAGTTTTAAAAGATCAGATGTGTGCAAGTGGGTGCCAGTTGTCAAAAATAAATGAAATGAAATGGCTTAAGGATATTTAGTTTACATTTTTTAACTGAAAAAAATAGAGTTCAGTAATCATTTTTGTGTGTTTCTCTTTCAGTTTCCTTTTGCTTCGTATTTAATGGATGCAGTACTGGAAAAATTAAATGAGAAGAAGAAACTGGTAGAAGAGTATAATTCTCTTATGCAGCAAACCATATGATATTGTGCAAACTGGGTTTGGAAAGGGTTTTATACAGAGTGACTGGAAAATGTGTTGTACTCCGGACACCATTCCCCTTCATATGGAAAACTATCAGTAGTCAAATTCAATACAAAAGGAAGAAGACTCTGAACTAATTAATCGTTGAACAAGTAGAATTAATTACATTCCCATTTAAAGAGGAAAAGTGCAGATTTGATTGCTGAACACAAAAATTACCACAAATTAATGCAAACTTTAAAATGATTTTCCTTCAAATACATTAGTAAAGAAAGCCAGTGCAAGCCTTGAGAAGATGAGCTGTCACTGATGTGAACACTAAGCCATAGGAACTGTGCAAATCAGTGAGAACACGGTGTATATCTGACTGGCCAAGCAACGGTGGACTGTATTGTTCCAAACACTTCAGGTGAGATGGAGTTTTATGTCCAAATCTGTTGAATTTCAAATGGATTTGAGTATCTTTCTCCTTTTGAGGCCTTTGCGGAACCCAGACTGGATTATTTACATAAACAGAATGCATTCCTAGAATGGGTTTGCTTTATGTAATAAACAGTGACATTAAATGTTAAGAACCGTAAGTAATAAAATGGAAGCTTTCTCAGTGGCCTAAGAGACTATAGGCAAGCTGCTTTTTTGTTTTCTGATTGGGAATGTTTTGAGCATATTTAATTGTATTTAAGAAATATTACTTCAAAATAAAAATCATTTCCAGTGTTTTTAATTAGAAGCCTCTGAAGTGTTCTCCTTGCAGAATTTTGCTTATAAACTGTTAAAAAAAGCAGCCTGGGTCCTAAGCACAACTCTTCCTGCTTTTGTATAGTATCCCATGTGTGTTGCCTGGCAAGCCAGGAAAGTAGCATTGTAGCTGAGCTATGTTTAGTGAGTTGATTTTAAGCCTAGTTCTTAGGGAACAGATGTTCACTTTGCAAAACTCCTAAATCATAGGTCTCTAATTAACCCTCTTTTTATCAGACTCAAACACTGAGTGAATGTGGAGATGGTGGTACTCTCATGTTTGAGAAGTGTCCCCATGGGTGCTCCACCTTTAGGTGCACCTGTGCCACTGCACCTCTTGTCAGAGACTTTCGACAGTGGTCCCCCCCATTGGCTGTGCACATGGAATGCCGGTGTGCAACATTTGAAACGGCTATCCCGCATGAGCAGCCAAGCACCTCCTCAGTTCCTTTCTGACCACCACCGGCTTCGGTCACAGCAGAGTAGTTGTCCTCAGATTACATTGTTAATAGTAATATTAGTACAGGAGGTCCCCGACTTGTGACCACCCGAGTTCCGACCCCCTGAATTTCGACCCCCTGCACTTACAAAAATGATTGTAAGTACAGAAGGGGCTGAAAACCCCCAGCTTACATCCTCAGCCCACATTTATGACAGCGCATAGCGCCTATCATAAATGAGAGTTTGAGTTATGATGCCCCTGACTTACAACGCTTCACCCATGGCTTATTTGTTTTTTCTCAATAGTTAAAATAAAACAAAAAAGCAAAACAAAATATTGTTTCTTCGTTGCTAAACTGCGGTTTATTACACCACATGTAGAGTTCTGGTCCCACTCTTCAGTGACTGCCTTAAACAGATTGCGCCTTGGGACATGCCTGGCTCTCCAGAACTTTAATAGTACAAGAGCAGCAGGCTGTCAATTTCAATATCGGATGGACACTTGGAGTTTATCAGCTGCTTAGGTGAGACGCACCATACTGAACAGTGCTCTCACTCTCAAAAGTTAACCAGCAGAACAAGGAAAGCTAGAGATCTCCAGTTTAAAATGATCATGCTGGAGAAATCATCACAGTCTGCCTCAGACCCACCTCATACCACACTACCCAGGTATGTGTCGCCTGGGGCAGCATCTGATAGAGGGGCTTTCTACAGGTTGAGCCCTAGGGACCAGGAAAGGGCTTAACTGCGCAAGAAGAGGTCCCATTCTTCCTCGGGGTCCAACTCCCCAGTGAGGACGCAATCGCAAATTTAAAAGTCTGTCTCCACGTCGGTTGAGCTAAGGCACCGGAGAAACAGACAGTGTACTGGGCTGGCACCAAGGAAAATTACAACCCCAAAGAGAAGGCCCGCCCTTCATCCGCCAAGCTGACCTCGGAGCCGAAACATAAGAGCTCCACAACGGCACCAGCAAAAAGGCCAGCAGCGCAAAAAAGCAGCACTGGCAAGACCACGATCAGCTCCGGCACCAAGCATGGCTATTAAAACCCCATAGGGCTGCTGGCACTGAGGGAGCACGCAAACGCGCATAACAAACAGCCAGCACCAGTTAGAGCTTCACTGCTGGTGCCGATAATGCAAATGCCTGCAGTGGCCATCCCGTTCCCTCCACCTCCACTGCCTCAGTTTATCAGCA